TTCGGCTGGGGTTATTCATCCCTGAAAGTTTCTCATGGCTATTGCTTTTCTGACTAAAAAAATGGTGGACAAAACAAGTAAGAAGCACCACCTTGGACACACCCCTATGTATAAATATTGTTATAGATTCTGTATTTATAACTCAAAATAGACTCACCAGCTGCAGGTTTTGGCTCCAGATGCTTAGATTTTGACTTACTTACGGTGCCGTTTGCCACAAATGCTGAAAAGTTTTTTTGTTAAAGTTCAGCACACAGTTTTCATTTACAGCTTCATAACAACCTTCATGTTACAATGAGAACTCAGCAGGTTTCACCGACCTCACACACTTGCAATTGTGAACTTACCGGCTGTACTCCCTCCCATCACTGGATCACATGCGTGCGTCCCCTTAAAGGCTGAAAAGACATTTAGGGAGCACTTAACCTCAAAACTAGTTTTTCACTGTTGAATAAATCTGTGAAAATGAGTCACTTACAAACTGGTTAATAATCAGTTTGGGATGGTTGTGACGTTTCAGCTGGTTCACATGTTAAATAAAGACTGCGTGGAGCATGTAAAGAAGCGACATTGGACTGACAGTATGGGCAGAACTCATGGTGGAGTGTAACTGAGTATATTTCCTCACATACTTTACTCAAGTATTTTGATGCAAACATGTTATTTTGGACTCTGTTTATTTTAAAGCTTTAGTTACTTTTTGGATTTTTTTCATATAAACTTACTGATATGATTCTATAACATTGTAAATGAAGCTATCCAGTAACATGTAAGTTGAAGATTGTTGAAGACCATATTCTGCTCATGTGTGGATGAGGCAGTGACAGGAGGAACTGACCTTTCTTTTCTTTCAGTTTCTTCTTCTTTAGCGTGAGCACAAACGGCCGCAGCTGGTCCTGGATGACTGCGTCCTTCCGTGGGATCTTACTCATCACACGGTTGATTGCAGAAATAGATTTCTCCTCTCCGTAGTGCTCAATGATTTTTTGGGGCATCTTGTCCTTGAACTTGGGAGTTTTCTGGCTTCTAGGAATCTTCCTCAGTAACTCCAGCATCTTATTGAACTGTGGCTTCTCAAGCTCATCGATGATGGCAGTCAGAGCTTCTTTCCACTTTCTGCTTGAAATCTTCGGCATGTCTGACACATTAAGAAAGATACAAGATTTAACTGTTACTGCAACAACTTTACAATCACTGGAGTAAATGAAGAGAATGTAACTGGAACAGAATTTTAAAAATAAAAATCCACAAAATTTAAAGTCTCAGAACACAAATAAAACAGATGAACTTCTGTGGCATTAAATAACAAGGACGAATGAGGACAGGACGTGGCAGCCTCATCCACTGCACAGTTTTCTGTTTTTAATAACAGCTTTCAAAGAAAAAAGTGAAAATGAAAGTGTGCAGTTAAACTTCATTTTGTC